TATCCAAAGGCTCCTAGGCTCTTCGTCGGGACCCAGGCAGATGGCAGATGGGGGCAGAGGCAGGTGTGACATCCCGAGGCTGTAAATAAGTAACGGCTGAGCGGCCCCTGGTGTCTGTTTCCCACCTAATACTCCAACCCGGCGCCAGCACATCCATTATTTAGCTCTTTGGTTTGTACCTGTCCTGAGTTCGTACAGTTCCAAGAAGGTCTGGTCCTGACACCAGAAAGAAAGCAAGCTTCACCATAGGTGAGATGGAGACCAACAACCGTGGGTCCACTAATCTGTTCTTCTGTAGCTTGTCCTTGTGACCTTTGCTAAGCTTTGGACATTTTCTGAGCCTCCTATTGCCTGGGTCTGAATCCTGTTTTTGCCACTCATTCCCTTGCCGGGAGTATGTGTGGGGCTCGACTCCTCTGAGTCTTGGGATACTTATGTACAAATAGGGACATCAGCAGGAACTCTACAGAGGGCTTCAAAAGGCCAGCATAAAGTTCAGTTCCTGTACGAGACCTCGCTGGTGTTATTCCTTGGAAACTACAGCTCCCAGACTCCTCCTGGATTACCCACACCTGTGCGCACGGGCGTGCCCAGGTGCGGGTCTCACAGATAACCTTGCGCCCCCCCGTTAAAAGCGAGCTTCCACGAGGTCTCGCTCTCTCTCACCCCTCTCTGGCCCCTTGTGTGTCTCGCACACCCCATCCCTTATCGTGTTTCCCTCTCCCCATTAAAGCGCACCCACGTGGGAGCCGCGTGTCTCGTCTATCCTGTGTTCGTCCACACACCCCACCCCGCCGTTTTTAAGGAATAATAGCTGGGGTAGTCATTAACGACTGTCCGGTTATGTGTGTTTCCATGGGACTCGGGATTAAAGCGAAGAGCCTCGGGCATGCCTTGAAAAACTCTACCGTCAGCTACCCTGCTCTCCGTCTGTGAGACAGGGTTTTGTTGTGTAGCCCGGACTATCCTCCAATTAAGGCTCCTCCTGTCTTCTCTCCCGTATTCTGGAACCACAGGTGTGAGAGATGCTACTTTGGCCCAGTGCAAGGGCAGCTTCTTCATTCTCACGTGGTCAGGGCCTAGATACAAGGCCTTTCATTTTCCTTGTGTTGGTTTTTGAGATGGTTTCTCCGTGTAGTTTTGGCTGTCCGGAACTCTCTCTGTAGAGCAAACTGGCTTTGAACTCAGAGATTTACCTGCCTCTGCCTCCTGAGTGCTAAGAAGAACAAAGGTGTGGGCCTCCACCCTCTGAGGCTTTCATTTTCATATTAGGAATGCTGAGGACACTCCCCCCCCTCTCGTGTGTGTGTGTGTGTGTGTGTGTGTGTGTGTGTGTGTGTGTGTGTGTGTGTGTGGAGAGAGAGAGAGAGAGAGAGAGAGAGAGAGAGAGATGCACTCATGCTCCAGCCTGTGTGTGTAGATCAGAGGAGTCTGTTCCTTCCTCCCACTTTTCCTTGGCTTTTGAGGGTTGAGTTCAGTTCATCAGACATGCATGTCTGAGCCATCTTGCCAGCCCAGGAGCCTTTTCTTAGTGTCTAGAAGACAACGCTGTCTGATAGCCAATGGAGGGGCCGAAATTATTAGATCAAAATGATGCTTGATTGACACCCTCAGGGTCGCACCCAAGCCTGCCCAAGCTTCTCTCATCTGCTGGTCCCTCTGGATCTCCCGTCTCTCAACCGGTCCGTGATGATGGGGAACATGGTATCCTTTTCTCACTCTTCTGGGTCATTTCAACACTATCCTATCTGACATCTTCAGCTGTGAACTTCAGGTAGAAGGAGCGTGGCAGCCATTGGTTAGAGTAAAGTCAGTGTTCCCTACCTCCTACTGATGGTATAACGTGAGTAGAAGTGGGGCCTTGGCAAAGCGAGGCACATGCATCATCCCTCCTATTGGCTTGTCTGGTGCACTGTCTGCCCTCCTACACACTGGAGGAGCCAATGGTAGGAACAGAATACCATCAGTAGTGAGTCTGGCCACTGCAGAGCATGGGTGTGCCTGGAGCCCTTGCCAAGGCTCACATCTCTCTGTTGGAAGGGGCTGAAGACAGGCGGTGGGGGGCTGGGGGAGCTTTTCCTTTCCTACAGCTGAGAGGAAACTGCCCTCATCCTGGTCCTTGAGACTCAGAAAGAAGGGAATCTCAAGGAAGCAGTCTGATCCTGCTTCAAATCAACCAACAATGCTGACTTCAGGGACTAGCCCAAGCACTGTTCCCTGGGCTCAGTCATTCCCTAGAAGGCCAGAGGTGGCATAGGAATGGCTGGGACCCTGCTGGTGTGATTGAAGGCTGAAGGGGGATTCAGGACCCAGAAACTGTTGTGTGACAAAACTTTTTTCCTGGGGAAACACACACCCCACTTCCTCACCAACTACTCACCCCAGATAGGCAGCCCAGGAAAGACGGAAGTGACCATATCACCAAAGTCCAACTTGGTTAGCCAATGAGTTTCGTCAGGGTTACTTACAGGAATATGGGTGTGGAGTTACTTAGAGGAGCAGAAATGACTCAAAGACATGTGTATGGTCAGAGCCCACCCCAGGGTAGGTGATAGTGCGGAAAGCCGAGAACCAGGAGCACACTGCAGTTAGCAGGCAGCTCAGAGCGTGTCCTGCCCACGTGACTCAGTTGGCCTAAACCTACTGGTCTCAGGGATCTTCACAGCTTGTCTTGCTGGAGAAGGACTCTCAGCAGGTGTCACTTACTCCGGTAGGTAGAGGCCTAGAGAATCTGGTCAGATTCAGAGACTTCCTGAAGCTGTTTTGAGTTGTCTTCCTTCCTGTTTTAAGAGCGTCCCTGCGGCTGGGCAGTGGTGGCGCACGCCTTTAATCCCAGCACTCGGGAGGCAGAGGCAGGCAGATCTCTGTGAGTTCGAGACCAGCCTGGTCTACAAGAGCTAGTTCCATGACAGGCTCCAAAACCACAGAGAAACCCTGTCTCGGGAAA